AGGGAGGTCTCTGGACTTGAACCAGGAACCTTTGTTTGGGGGACGGTCTCACAGAGCATCACTGGGCTGTTGTCTGGCCTCTGGGTTGGGACTCTTTGGCCCGGGCCACTGGTTCACTTTCCTTTTGCCCCTCTGGCTGCCGGCTCTTTCCAGTCTTTGGTGGTTACTGTCCAGGTTTGAATCTGGTCTCATGCAGCGATCTTACTACCAATAGGAGGTCCCAGGAATATCTTTTCAAACTATTTATATTTGATCTTGTAGTATGTAAAAGAGGTTAGATGGTCCTCGTGCATGAACCAAAAATGGGAAGGCTGCTGTTCCTCTCCTTCCTGCAAAAATACCCGGGGCACAGTCAGCCAGGAAGGCGACTCTGGGGTAGGTCAAAGAAAAACAAACAGAAACACAAGATTGGCTGAGAGCCCCGGGGATTAAATAACTAATGAATCCCACAACAATTTGACAAGGAACTAATTAATCCGTTAAGCACTTGGAGGGTCCAAGGCCCTGGCCAAGTGCAGGGACAGGCTCCACTCGTCTCTGGGGGCTGCTGCTGAGTGTCTCTGCGCTGAGGTCTTCAGAGAGAACACACGTGAGGACCCACCCTCCCAAAGTCCTTGGTGTCCTCTGTGACCGAAAGCTGCCTCTGGAGCTGCTTCTGGAGCCAAACTTGGCTGTCACTCTGCCTGGGGAGCCAAGTCAAAGGAGAGAGTTGGGGCAAGGGCTCTCGGTCTGCAGCTTCTCCAAGAACTGGCTAGAGAAGTAGGGCTCCCGAGAGTGCTAGAACTGGAAAAGACCTCAGAGACCTGGTCCCTCAGATCTTTACAGATGGAGAAGGAAGTTTGTACGTTACCAGGACAGGCCATTTGGACCTAGAGACAACTGCTTGTTTTTTTTTATTTTTACATTTTTTTTTTTTGAGAATTTTGCTATAGGGTGTGTATGTTTGCCAGAGAGAAACAGAGACATAGAAAGCAGGAAATCACCCCACAGGGAGGATGGTCACACCACAATCCATTCACCTTCATTTTCCTCTCAGGATTTTGGGCACACATGCACATGTACTGGTGTGATTTCAAGCCTCCGGGTCCGGAACGCAAACCACAGTCAATCACATGGGAGTCCAGCACCCCGACCACTATGCTACCTGCTGGCCCTGACAACTGCTGATTTTGATCATTGCTGCTCAACTTCCAGACCAGAACTCAGAGCTCCCTCTGGTGTTGTCCTAACCTCCACCTGGGAACACAGCAGTGCTGAGTGCTCTCTTAAATCTAATCACTGTGATCTGATTAGGACTTAGATAATCTTTTTATGTGATTTTTTTATGAGCTTTGGGAATTTTGGTAACAAATTCAAGACTGATCACAGCCTACTGGGTGGGCCCTTGTAGACGTCTTTTTTTTAATTGTTATTTGCAATTACCAGAGAGAATGTGTGTGTGCTCACTAAAGAGAGACAGAGAGACAGAGAGTGAGAGAAGGTCATGCTCAAATCCATTTTCCTCCATTTCTCTATCCCATTGGGATTTTCGCAGGTACATAAATGCAGCCAGTGTGTTTCTCCAGCTGTGGGGACTGGGATTCGAACCATGATTGGCCATGTGGGATCTTGCTCCCTTAACTACTAGCTAAGGGGCCAACCTCTAGATCTTGTTTTTGTTATTATTAGCTTTTTTTTTTAATCTTCTGTGCCCTGAAATCCAGGTTGCCTCGTGTTATAACCTGATCTCAGAAAATCACATGAGAGTAGCCCTCTGGGACCATAAGCTCCTGTTGACCTTTCCCAGATAGCGTTTTCTTTACATGCTTCTCATAGGAGACAAAGGGATCTAGAGCGGAGGCAGCCAGGGGACCCATGGACCAGGAATGCACTGAGGAGCTCTGGGACAGTGACACCTAGAATCACGAAATGCAATGTGTACAGCTACCTGTGGTGACTGTCAGCAACACAGAAGGCTGGGCTGGCATGGGCCGGGGAGGGAGGGGTGTGTCTGGGATCTGCTTAGTTACTATAGGCTGTGGACCTGACTCTAAGCCAGGTGCTGAGGGTAGAATGTTGAATTGGATCATTCTGTGTCCATGAGGGGCTCCCTGTGTAGCAGGGCTGTTGTCTGGCCTCTGGGTTGGGACTCTTTGGCCCGGGCCACTGGTTCACTTTCCTTTTGCCCCTCTGGCTGCCGGCTCTTTCCAGTCTTTGGTGGTTACTGTCCAGGTTTGAATCTGGTCTCATGCAGCGATCTTACTACCAATAGGAGGTCCCAGGAATATCTTTTCAAACTATTTATATTTGATCTTGTAGTATGTAAAAGAGGTTAGATGGTCCTCGTGCATGAACCAAAAATGGGAAGGCTGCTGTTCCTCTCCTTCCTGCAAAAATACCCGGGGCACAGTCAGCCAGGAAGGCGACTCTGGGGTAGGTCAAAGAAAAACAAACAGAAACACAAGATTGGCTGAGAGCCCCGGGGATTAAATAACTAATGAATCCCACAACAATTTGACAAGGAACTAATTAATCCGTTAAGCACTTGGAGGGTCCAAGGCCCTGGCCAAGTGCAGGGACAGGCTCCACTCGTCTCTGGGGGCTGCTGCTGAGTGTCTCTGCGCTGAGGTCTTCAGAGAGAACACACGTGAGGACCCACCCTCCCAAAGTCCTTGGTGTCCTCTGTGACCGAAAGCTGCCTCTGGAGCTGCTTCTGGAGCCAAACTTGGCTGTCACTCTGCCTGGGGAGCCAAGTCAAAGGAGAGAGTTGGGGCAAGGGCTCTCGGTCTGCAGCTTCTCCAAGAACTGGCTAGAGAAGTAGGGCTCCCGAGAGTGCTAGAACTGGAAAAGACCTCAGAGACCTGGTCCCTCAGATCTTTACAGATGGAGAAGGAAGTTTGTACGTTACCAGGACAGGCCATTTGGACCTAGAGACAACTGCTTGTTTTTTTTTATTTTTACTTTTTTTTTTTTGAGAATTTTGCTATAGGGTGTGTATGTTTGCCAGAGAGAAACAGAGACATAGAAAGCAGGAAATCACCCCACAGGGAGGATGGTCACACCACAATCCATTCACCTTCATTTTCCTCTCAGGATTTTGGGCACACATGCACATGTACTGGTGTGATTTCAAGCCTCCGGGTCCGGAACGCAAACCACAGTCAATCACATGGGAGTCCAGCACCCCGACCACTATGCTACCTGCTGGCCCTGACAACTGCTGATTTTGATCATTGCTGCTCAACTTCCAGACCAGAACTCAGAGCTCCCTCTGGTGTTGTCCTAACCTCCACCTGGGAACACAGCAGTGCTGAGTGCTCTCTTAAATCTAATCACTGTGATCTGATTAGGACTTAGATAATCTTTTTATGTGATTTTTTTATGAGCTTTGGGAATTTTGGTAACAAATTCAAGACTGATCACAGCCTACTGGGTGGGCCCTTGTAGACGTCTTTTTTTTAATTGTTATTTGCAATTACCAGAGAGAATGTGTGTGTGCTCACTAAAGAGAGACAGAGAGACAGAGAGTGAGAGAAGGTCATGCTCAAATCCATTTTCCTCCATTTCTCTATACCATTGGGATTTTCGCAGGTACATAAATGCAGCCAGTGTGTTTCTCCAGCTGTGGGGACTGGGATTCGAACCATGATTGGCCATGTGGGATCTTGCTCCCTTAACTACTAGCTAAGGGGCCAACCTCTAGATCTTGTTTTTGTTATTATTAGCTTTTTTTTTTAATCTTCTGTGCCCTGAAATCCAGGTTGCCTCGTGTTATAACCTGATCTCAGAAAATCACATGAGAGTAGCCCTCTGGGACCATAAGCTCCTGTTGACCTTTCCCAGATAGCGTTTTCTTTACATGCTTCTCATAGGAGACAAAGGGATCTAGAGCGGAGGCAGCCAGGGGACCCATGGACCAGGAATGCACTGAGGAGCTCTGGGACAGTGACACCTAGAATCACGAAATGCAATGTGTACAGCTACCTGTGGTGACTGTCAGCAACACAGAAGGCTGGGCTGGCATGGGCCGGGGAGGGAGGGGTGTGTCTGGGATCTGCTTAGTTACTATAGGCTGTGGACCTGACTCTAAGCCAGGTGCTGAGGGTAGAATGTTGAATTGGATCATTCTGTGTCCATGAGGGGCTCCCTGTGTAGCAGGAGTGGGGAAGGAGCAATGGTGAAATAGAAGTCACCACTAACGTGCGATGAGTGAAATGACAAAGCTCTGTTAAGTCATGCAAACCTGCACCCTTAGCTCTCCAGTGGGGTCGACCAGGCCATTGAGTCATGGAAGGGGCTGAAAGACTGCATGACTTGCAAAGCCTCCTTAACATAGAGTTGGATACGATGCTGTAGCTTTTGCATCAGGCTTCTTCAAACCTGGATTACTGGACCCCACTCTGCAATATCTGGTTTTGTAGGTCTGGGGTGGGACACAAGAACTTGCATTTCTCATAGGCTTTTAGGTGGTGCAAATGCTGGTCATCTAGGGGCCTTCCCTGGAGAACTGCTGGAAGGATTTGGTCATCCCAAGGTGCCGTAAAGGAAGAGCTTCCCAGCTGGTAGCATCAGCCTCTGCGTTGACCACCAGGGCTGGTTTCCGAATCAGACAGAGATGTGTTCTCTTCATTCATTCTCTATGGACCTTTATTTTCCTGCTGCTTTTACTTGTTCGGTTTTCTTTCTTTTTTTTTTTTTTTTTATAGGTTTTTTTGGCCTTTGGGTGTACACGCTTGCCAGAGAGAGAGAGACTGACACAGTGAGAAATCACCCCCCATGGGGATGGCCACACCACAATTCTTTCTCCTCCATTCTCCTCCTGGAATCTTGAGCACACACACATGCCTGGTGTGAGTTTCAAGCCACCAGGTCTGGGACTCAAACTGTAGTCGGCCATGTGGGAGTGCAGTGATGTAGCTGCTACGCCATCTGCTGGCCCCCTTCATGCTGCTTTGAAATTTTACTTAGTTACTTTGTTGATTCTAGAGTTACTTATCTATTCCTATATTCATTTTTCACAGAGTGAAATGGATGAGAATCAAATCCAGATGGCTGGTGATGACGTGGATTTGCCCGAAGATCTCCGGAAAATGGTAAATGAAGATCAAGAAGAAGAAGAGGATAAGGATTCCATTCTTGGCCAGTTACAGAATCTCCAGAATATGGACTTGGATACCATAAAAGAAAAAGCCCAGGCCACCTTCACTGAAATTAAGCAGTCGGCGGAGCAGAAGTGTTCTGTGATGTGAGGGGCAGGGAGGGAGTGGGGTCGGTGGGGGACAGGCCACTGTTCCAGATTGTTCTCCTGTGGACATTTCCAGCAGCAAGTGCAGGTTGAGTGTTCCTGATCCCAAATGCCCAGGACTGGGGCCAGCAGGTGGTGTGGTGGTTAAGACTGGACTCCCACATGGTCAACTGTGGTTTGAGTCCTGGACCTGGTGGCTTGAAAATCTCACTGGGCTCATGTGCACGTGTGCCCAAAATCCAAAGAGGAGAATGGAGGAGAGGGGATTTTGGTGTGGCCATCCCCACTGGGGAGTGATTCCTCACTTTCCCTCTGTCTCTCTCCAGCAAGTGCACATACCCTATAGCAAAAACCCGAAAACAAAAACAAATATAAATACAGAACAAAACAAAACAAAAACTCTGGGACCAGCAGTGTTTGGATTTCAGCTATTTGGGGGATTTTGGAATAATTGCCCAAATACAGTAAGAATCTTTTTTTTTTTTTTTTAGAGGTTTTCGGTATAGGGTGCGTGCACTCGCCAGACAGACAGACAGACATAGAGACAGAAAGCGAGAAATCACCCCCCAGGGGGGATGGTCACGCCGCAATCCCTTCTCCTCCATTCTCCTCTCGGGATCTTGGGCACACACGCACACATGCCCGGCGTGAGTTCTAAGCCACTGGGTCCAGGACGCGAACCTCAGTCGACTACGGGGAGTCCAGCGACATAGCCATTACACTAACTGCTGGTTCCCACCCAAATATAGTAAGAATCTTAAGGATAGGTCCCAAGTCTAAACATGAAATTCATTTTTACTTCATGTGCATCTCATATACATAGCCCAAAGGGAATTTTATGTCATATTTTTGAATGTCAGTGTTTTGACTGTGACTCATCACATGAGGTCAGGTGTGGCATCTTCCACTTATAGCATCATGTCAACACTCAAAAAGTTTCAGGCTTTGGAGCATTTTGAACATCAAATTTTCAGATTAGGAATGTTCAACCTGTGTTTTAATGTAGTGAACAGTTAAGAAAACTGATGGTGTTAAAGCTCTCTACAAACACATAGAGAACAATTTTTTTCCCCAAATGTTTCTGGAAGGGCGTTTTGCTAGCACCTTGCAGCAGGAAATATATTTTCCTTTTAGTTAACAATGTGACCGGGATGGGCGGTGGCACAGTAGCAATGCAACTGAATCCACATAGGAAGGGTTCTGGGTTCATGTCCCAGGATCTCCCTAAACGCTGGGTGAGACCGGGAGTGAGGCTTGAAGACCCTGTTGGGGGTGCTACTCTCTCTCATGAATGCTCTCATTTTCTCTCTCTCTTATGGAAGAAATAAACGTTATTTTTTTTTTTTTTTGGAGAGATTTTCACTGTAGGGCGCATGCGCTCGCCAGACAGACAGAGACATAGAGACAGAAAGCGAGAAATCACCCCCCAGGGGGGATGGTCACGCCGCAATCCCTTCTCCTCCATTCTCCTCTCGGGATCTTGGGCACGCACGCACACGCGCCCGGCGTGAGTTTTAAGCCACCGGGTCCGGGACGCGAACTGCGGTTGACTACGTGGGAGTCCAGCGACATAGCCATGACCCTAACTGCTGGTTCCCTGGAAGAAATAAACTTTTAAAAAAAGAAACGTGCTATGAAATTTCAGCTGTCAGTGATGTTGTTTAAGACAAGTATACCTGCTTAGCGATCTTGAGGACAGCCAGGAAACGAAGTGAATGGCGTTTCCTCTCCAACACTTCCTTCTCAGACGGCCGAGTCTCATGTTAACATGACATCGGGTCCCGTCAGAGAACGATGTAGTGGGTCAGAGAGCCAAAGCTGCACCACCACCCAGCTCTGTCCCTTCATCTTGACAACCCAAATCGCTCCACTGTCCTTCGGCCACTATCCCAAGGGACCTGCATTACTGCTAGAAGACTCTGGCCACGATCCCTCTGTGTCACAACACAGGTTATCACAGCACCCACCCCATGCCACGACATAACATAAACCCACAGTATAGAACTACAGAACGCCCTGTCATACCACACACACCACAGTACACCCGAGCATATTCCACACATTCCGCCATACCGCGGCATACCACACATTACAGCATGACACCCGCCTCACACCAAACCACTCCTCACCGTGCCACAGCACAGACTGCACCACCGCAGTCGGTATCAATCACCTGTGTGCCCTAGTGAGCTAGGAGTGGATGTATTAGGGTACTCCGGAGTCCTCTTTCTCTGTAGCGGGCAGATAGATAAACCCTACCTGACGGTATATATGCTAAAGTACTTAGGGCAAAATGCACTGAAGTCTACAACTTACTTCAGAAAGCACAAAAAAGATTGTTGGCTAGCCGAATACATATCATTGAGCAGTATACTAATCTGACAGTCCGTGCAGTAGGCATGTGACATTTGTGGTCCTTCCAACTCTATCATGTTTTCTGGTTTTCTTCATAAACATTTTATAATTAAATGTTTAGAGCAAAATAAAGGAGCAACACTTGTTAGCAGCTCTAGTGAAAAGAGGGTGATCAAAAAGAGTCTGAAAAAGGATGAGATGCATTTTTTAACTGCCAAAGAGCACACGTGCTAGTCAGAGGCAAGGAGAGAAAGAGAGAGATCACCTGCCCCAGTGAAGAAAGAGAGAGAGCGAGGAAGAAAAGAGGAGAGCATGAAGGGAGGGTGAAGAGAGAGAATGTAAACTCAGAGTTCCGAATGCAAGGCTCTGAGAGTTCTCTGCAGTGCAACTCTGACTTTCCCTGAGTATCGCAGTCTGTCAGTGTGTGGCTGTCAGAACCACCTGAGCCCGAGTGATTTTATGAAGACAGAAATCTATTTACAACATCACAAATCTGGTAGCTGAAGAGCTGTAGGCCTGCAACCAGCTCTTCTAAGAACTAACCCCTTCTCAAGAGAACTAGAACTCACTGAGTAGAGCTCTTGGGGTATTAATCTCCTCATGAGGTATTGCCTTCACATCGCAATCACCATGATCCCATCGTTTTCTCCTAGGCTTCACCACCTGCCTACAGCAAATTCCAAAACATGAAACTTTGGGGGACAAACCAACAGCCAAACCAAAACACTAGGTTCTAGGGTTTGGTTTTATTTTTCACCTTTTGAAAAATTATTTCATCATCATCTTCATTATTTTTACTTTGTCAAAAGGCACATGTGCCTGCTGGAGAGAGACAGAGGCATGGTCATGCCACAGTCACTTCTCTTTCATCCCTCCCTCCTGCTGGGATTTCAGGGATGCAAGCCCATACACTCTGCCTGGCGTGTTTTTCAAACTGCCAGGTCCAGGACTCGAACCACACATTAGCCATGTGGGATCCACCTATCCTAACCACCAGTCCATGGGCTGGCCCCATTATGATTTTTAAATTGTGGAAAAATATACAACATGAAACACATGTAGAGTTCAATGACAGTATAGCCCCATATTGTGCAACCATCCCCACCATCCATCTCCAGAATCTTTTCATCTTCCCAAACTGAAACTTTGTAAGCATTAAACAATAACTCCTCACTACCCTCTTCACTAACCCACCCCCCAAAACCACCATTCTACTTTTTGTCTCTACAGATTTGACTACGTACCTCCTATGAGTAGAATCACAGAGTCCTTTGTAACTTACTCATTTCTCTTATAGTGTCTTCAAGGTTTGTCCATGTTGTAGCATATATCAGAACCCCTTCCTTTTTAAGACTAATTTTCCACTGTTACATATGTGCTAAACATTTTGCTTATCCATTCTTCCATTGGTGGATACTTGGGTCGCTTCCACCTTTGGGTATTGTAAATACTGCTGCTATGAACATCAGTGTACAAATACCTGCTTGAGTTTCTGCTTTCAATTTTTTCTTTATTTTAAATATTTTATTTAACTTTTATTTATTTACTTTAATGGGACCAGAGAGGGATAGAGTGAGAGAGTGAGAGAGCAAGAGAGAGAGATGGAAAGTGAGAAAGCAAGCCACCAGGTCCGGGACTCAAACTGGAGTCGGCCATGTGGGAGTCCAATGGCCATAACCACCATGCCACCTGCTGGCCTCTCCTGCTTTCAATTCTTTGGGTATACACCCAGAAGGAGAATTGCAGGATCATCCCTAGGTTTTGTCTATGTTAGAAATAACAGCTTGGGAGCTGCACATTCTGCTTGAGGGATTTAATACAATTTGGAACCATATAAGTCAAGTTCATATTTTAAAATCTTGGGGATTTATTTTTTACCTTTTAAAAAAACCTTTTATTACAGGAAATTTTCAAGCCTAACCAAAAATAGAAAAGATTAGCATATTGGGAACCAGCAATTAGCGTAATGGCTATGTTGTTGGACTTCCACGTAGTCGACCGCGGTTCGTGTCCCGGACCCGGTGGCTTAAAACTCACACTGGGCGTGTGTGCGTGCGTGCCCAAGATCCCAAGAGGAGAATGGAGGAGAAGGGATTGCGGTGTGACCATCTCCCCTGGGGGGTGATTTCTCGCTTTCTGTCTCTATGTCTCTCTCTCTGTCTGTCTGGCAAGCACACGCGCCCTATAGCAAAAACCTCTCTAAAAAAAAAAAAAAGAAAAGATTAGCATATTAAGTCCACATGCACCAGCATTTAGCTTCTTAGCCCAACTTTAAAGCACTGCCCACATTTAATAGACACAAAAATGAAAAGTTATCTGCTGATGATAATGTATATGGTAATCTCTTTGACTTGACTAATAGCCGCTGTGCTCATGCTAGGAAAAACCATGTTGTACACTATAAAGATGTACAGTGATTAAATGTAAATTAAAAATAATAATAAATAAAAATTATCAGTAAAAAAACAAACTGCCATCCTTGGAGAAGTACAGATTTTCACAGCTCCATCTATAAACTAAAGGCATCCTTCTTAAAGGGTGTCCAATTATAGAAAGGTAAAATACCTGGAAGAAGTGATGTTTTCTCACTTGTTTTTTTGTTGTTTTGTTTTGCTTGATTTTTCTTTCTTTCTTTCTTTCTTTCTTTCT